GACGAACGGGTGACGGATTAGAAAAAATGAGGGCTGAAAAAAGGGTCCTTGCTCTGCAGGTGTTGGGAAATGACATCAGAAAACGGGACATAATCAGCCTTTTTATGAAGCGATATAGCACGAACAGTGCTCGTCCTGTTTTTCGATGTGTTCTATAATATCAGCTGGTGAGACGAATGCCCCTAGGAGACACGCAAATCTTTCGCGGATGATTACAACCCATCATAAGAAATATGTAGTCTCTGACTTACTTAGGTTAGCCTGATGTGCCACTGTCCGTTTTGATAGATACACAGGTATCAAGGCTACAACAATAGTTGCTACTAATAGCAAACCCAATATCCCGAGAGAGCATAAAGCAATTAATGGAACTGCGGAAAACCATCTACGATTTGTTCTAGAAGAAATTACAATATTGATTACTTAATCCCTACTTGTGCTAACGCGCTACATACGTTGCAGTTGTTGATGGTAGCGCAGCAGGTACTGCCTCAGCTGGTGGATTCTGATAATACATTCTCCAGTCGTATGTTTTTATTTATATACTTTTCCTGAAAGTTGATTATTTATAGCCGATTAGAAATTACTATTAAAAGAGTCGACATACCTTTGCGTTTTGCTTGAATAATACTTTTATAAACTACCCCTGCTGAAATTGGATATACTCGTAGCTTTTATTAGCCGATGGGAGAGAGTGATCGCCTATCATGCATATTATCATTTTTTTCTCGACTTTTGTAGATGAATATTGCTGCTTCATAGTAGGGATGCCGTCAAAATTGTATATTTCGATACATTTATTCACAGAAACGAAAAAAGAAAAGTAAGAAACGATAGAGAATGAACAAGAGATTGTTTTCCTACATAAAAGAAGAGAACGGAAAAAGAACGATACGATGTTGATATATGACATATAGAGTCTCATGCCCTAATTTCGACACAAGTTTTCAGGTTTCTTAGGTCGTGTTTTTCTCAGTTAATTGTTAAAACTTTTTATATAGCGACTACTTTAGTCAGTCAGTAACCACCTAAATTCAACATATTCTCTTCTGTAACAAAAAACAGTGTTTAGAAAGTTTGATGTGTAAGTCAACGATCAACTTTATCCTTGTTAGTTCAGTCTTTTACCAGTTGTAGTCCTGATGTATGGAACATTTTTTGTTCTAAGATTATATGATAATTTTGACTTTCGGCTAGCGTTCACATATTTTTTGTAAAAGTCTCTTAAAATGGCATTTATTTCAATGGAAGTGTCGAAATAAGGAAGAAGATATAATTTCGACACACATATAAGTATATTCTTCACTGAAGAAGAGCATGAAAACATGTGCTCTTTTGAAAAAAATATATGGCTCGATTCGCCGTAGCCTTTTGAGTATTCCTATATGAAATTGAGAAGGTTCTGATCAAAAACATAAATACTTTTCTTTTACAGTTTATTCTACTCTGATACTATTTAGACGTTCTTATAAGAGAGATTTTTCTATTTAAAGAATAAGAAAAGAACAATTTTATACTTTCCTCAAATATTCATCTTTTATATATTCAAGTAGGACAGTACTCCTCATTGCAAATTTATTTCGTTTTGTGCCAACTTCGCGAACTAAAACCACACTAATTAGAGAAGGCTCATTTCATTTTTTATATTAGTTTGAGGTATACGAGTTATACATGATACTGATCTATTTAAAACCGAAGTCTTTTGTTTTGTTTCTTATTTGAATGTAAAAGCAAATATCATATACACGTGCGGTAAGAGCATCAAGTTATTTCAATGAAGTTGAGTGTATGCTAAAAGAATATCAGCAATTGCCCTCGAAAAGCGTAGTTGAATGTATGAAGAAGTAAACACCCATTCAACTGTTTGAACATTAGAGGTATGCTAAATGTTCTGATATTTTCGTTAGTTAGTCCTTAAAATTCCCTTACTGAATAGGATCGTTACTGGATAGGAGAAACCAAGAACATGCTTTAATACCTTGATTTGACTTTTTAAACAATAAAAATAATATAAACGTCAATGTAGATATACAATCACGGGGATGATGGTGATAGGTTAGGTGAATAGGTATGAAACGAATTTCAAGGACTCAACTTCATTGAAATAACCTGATACTCTTAGCGCACGTGTATATGATACCTTGCTTTTACATTCAAATAAGAAACAGAACAAAAAGCTTCAAACTAACCGCTGAGTGTTATTACGAAACGCAATTTTCGGACTGATGATTGAAATGCACTTATCATAGGTATATATGATTTAAGATGATTTGCCATGCCTTCTGGAGTGAATTGTTACAAATATTTCATCATCAGTTAAAGTCAATGAAGAATAATCATATTTATGTGATTTATATACTCATATTTATCCTTATGATGTTCATCTGGAAGAAAAGCGTCAGGAAAATTTGGGTTATCTTGGTATATATCTGTTCGCATATAAGAAAGAAAAGGAAAAAGCATGGTAGCGTTGAGCTAACTATATATAGCTGAAACTCCTCACATCCAGTATGGGAAAATAAATGTGTTTTATATCGCTCCGTACTGTGCTGAAGAGAACGCTAGCTTTCTTTCATGGCTTTTAACAGCAAAAAAGTCTAGAAACACAAATCTCAGAATTTTTTATCATAACGCACGCTGTTTTAAGCATAGAAGAAAAGTAGATACAAAAACGAATATTATGTGACAGAAACAGCGGTAGAACTTGTCGCATAAGATGAAAAAAAACAAAAGCAAAACCAGTGTTAATCAGCTGTCTCTTTATTATTAAGATATCTACGTTCGTATCACATATAGGTGTTGATCTATTCTCGCTCCCTGTCGTACAAATAGCTAAGGCTTGCGATTCAAAAGTTCCGCACTATTTTTTTTCTCCATAATTTATACATGGTTCAATAGGTCTTATCAAGCTGAGTCAGAATATATATGTTTTAGCCTTTAAAAACGTTTCTAAAGAAAGAAACTTGCAAAACACCTGTGGTCCAAAAACCAGTATTTTTACAATAAAACTTTTTCGAACACCCATCATGTTTTGGAACTTTGAAAATTTTTTCCCCTAATTCAGCATAACAAACTGACTAAGGAAATGTCATTTACCTTCGAAATAAATCTAATACCTTTTTCTAATTCAGGTTTTCGCGCTAAATCGGAAAAAATTAGTTTGAAGGTTTCAACAGCAATACAAGCCGAAGATTTGTACTTTTTTGACACGATCGTTTTTTAGAGATTTTTCGACATGAAAACATTGTTTGGGAAAGTCACAGACTACATATTCTTGATCAGCTCGACGAGTTCTATCGAACGGTGTATGATTAGTTGAGAAAAAAATTCTGCTCTATTATTTGCGCCTTACTCATTTTAATATTTTTAACTCTATAAATTCTAGTTAAATTAATGAATAATTCGAGATTTTCCAAAAACTTTTCACCAAAAAATGTAAATGAACTAAAACATTCGAAATACACATCAGTCGACTCGGCCTTTGACCCTGATTCTAAATATGATATTTTTACTGCATAAAAGGTTAGCTCTGATCGAGAAAATTGAGAATTACGGGCAGAATTCCCCATAATTCTCCCTAAAAACAGGAATTGTAAAGATTTAGACCTGTTCCACAAAATTTTTCTGCTTTTCTTTGGCACCATCGGATAGAGCGTAAAAAGCTGCATATTGTGTAAAAATTTGATGTTACGTCTGAATTTCTATCTGGGTCATCTAGGGTGAATACCACCTAAAAACCCGATTTTCGCTGGGTTTTGCCGATTTTCAAGAAAGCTTGCGCTTGAATATGTTTTCTAATGCTATATTCAGATTCAGCATGAAATTTTGCATCTGAATCACTATCTATCTTAATTTTTCGGTGCTTCCTCGGCGAAGAGGGCTTGAATACCTTTTATGGCGGAAAACCAGAAAATTGAGGTAAACTGAACATTACTCCGTACCAAATCATTTTTGACACTTCTAATACAAATATTCGTGATCAGCATGGTCGATTACATATTATCAGGTGGGCTTGGAGAAAATCAAAAACAAAAAGTTTTTCAGGAATCCTGTAGGGGACCCCAGGCGTCGAAAACCTGACCGAGAGATTTCGCGAAACTAAGTTTCTGGAAATGTTCCTGAGCATCCCCTGACATGATTCCAATGCAAAAAAGTCAGAAATTTAGTGGGCCAGAAAAGAGTCTTATCCGCCCCACTTCTTTAGGATCTCGACATTACTGATGAAACTATCATCGCAATGGAGAGAAAAAAAGTAGAAAGGGCTTGCACCTTCATCTAGCACGTCACAAAGAACATCAATCATCGAAGCCTTTGAACTGCATAATACTTGGGTAGTCATTACGGTTCAATTAATCTAGCAATTCTTACCCATTTAGAAAGAGAATCAGAATGATTATTTCTCGTCAGAGAAATAAAGGAAAATAACATACCTTTGTTATGTTTACTAATGATTCGGGTATTCTGCCATATAAAAAGTTTTTCAGTCTCTAGCCCAAAGGAGTCTTCGCCATATATAATTATATCAAAAAGTCAGTCTTAAAGCGCCCTTACCTAATATTATTCTAGAAAAAGGCAAACTAACCTGATGATTTCGCAGTTGTAGCCGTGCTGCCAGAAATTGGTGGTGGCTGTTGTGCTTAAAAAAAAAGAGATACTCTCTTGTCTCCGAAACCTCAATAAATCTTCACTTACAAGCAGATGACAGTGCTGCTTTAAAAGTGAATAAACGTCCATTATCATCAGTGAATGTAAATAAAATTTCGGTGCCTATTCCTGCATCGAACCGTTGTTGACACTTCTCTTTCAGCTCACTTTGACATGATTCTGATGCACACAGTGGCGAATAGGCCAGATGAAATGGGACGACAAACGATGATAAAAATGTCATATTATCAACAACAATTTTTGCTTGGTTTGAGTGAAAATTGTAATTATAAGAAAGCTAAAAAGACAAATTAAGAGGCGTTGTATGAGAGCGTGAAGAAAAGCCAAAATATGAGAAAATTAACATCTCTTTTTTATGTTTTCATTCGATTCTCCATTCACTTTTAGGGATACGAAAAAGTCTTTTAAAGGTCATACTTAAAAATGACTGAGTTATAAAAGCTGTGCGAAAAGTGCTCAAAAAACAGACGGTAAACGAAGTTTTCAGTATTTTGAGATTTTTTCTTTTCTGTTCTTCACTCTAAGATTTTGGAATGTATGAGTCGATAGAACAAAAACAGCTCTTCAAAATGAATTCACTCTCAATCCTCTCAACCATACTTTACTGTAAGGTGGGAAAGTTTGAATTCTGAGTGTTTTAGATCCTCGGAAAAAACTCAAATTTAAATCTTTTCTGTTAAATTAGCATTAGAACGGACAAAACACTTAGCTTTCTCAGAAAGTGGGAGAACAGAGCAAAAATCATCTTGTTTTAAGTGAGTATTTTGAATTTTCTTCCTTCACACTTATTTGAACAAAAACTTGTAAAACACAATTTCTGATTCAACCTTTTATACTAATTCCGAATATATAGTTTGTTTTTGTTCAAAATAAGTGTAAAGAAAGAAAATTCAAAATACTCACCTAAAATAAGATGCTTTTTGCTCTGTTCTCCCACTTTCTGAGAAAGCTAAGTATTTGGTCGTTCTAATGCTGATTTAACACAAAGGATTTAAATTTGAGTTTTTTCCGAAGATCTAAAACACTGAGAAAAACTTCGTTTATCGTCCGTTTTTTGAGCACTTTTCGCAAAGCTTTTATAACTCGGCCATTTTCGGTATGACCTTAAAAAGACTTTTTCGTATCCCTAAAAGTGAATGGGGAATCGAATGAAAACGTAAAAAAGAGATGTTAAATTTTCTCATGTTTTACCTTCTGTAGCAAGCTGCTCGATGAACTCGTGCAATGTTTCTTAACTCAAACTTCTCTAACAACGGCAAAAATCAAGAATAAAATCACCTTTTTACATGTTGAAATGACCATTTCAACATGTAAAAAGGTGATTTTATTCTTGATTTTTGCCATAAAATTTTTCACCTTAAACAAGGAATCAATTCTCTAACAATCTCTGCTCCGGTAACTCACCTTAACGGCTGTCTCCTGTCGTTCTTGTGCTGTACAACTAGTTTTTGAATGATCAGAATATGCACGTTTTTCACGTATTTCTCGTTTTCTTTGATCATTAATTATTGTATATACCAGAAAAACTTGCGATGATGCTAAAAAAAGTTTAAAAAATTATCAAAAAAGCGTATCTTGATTTTCCAGAATATGAGAGAAATTCGCATTTTCATCTCTTTTTCATTTAAAAGATGAATAGTGTATTGCGACCCCCACTTTTTTCACTCATCGCGCTGAGAGATATCCAAGCCATTTCGCGCGGAAACTTTAGTATCACATGTACACCCCATCTGACTGACGGTTCAGAGAAAAGGGTAAAAATTTGTAAATAACTTCCAGTCTTTTTTGAAAGCAAAATTCATAGATTTTAACAAAATCAAGTGAGAGGTTAGAGTGAGGGCGAAAAATGCAGTTTTCCGAATGAAAACTGCATTTTTTTCATCAGAGGAGGA